CCCCCCCCCCCCCCTCCAATTATTAGTTCCCAAGTCCTCACTCAATCCTGACCCCAATCCCCACTGGTCTGGCCAAGACTCTGCCTTGACTGACTGGTTCCTGTATCTCAAACCCACTCCACATGCACAGCTTACTCTCCAACAAAAATCCTTTTTATAAAGAACCAGCTGCCTGATGGGATCATCTCTCACCAGTAGCAACAGCCCTAGTTTGAAAGATGAAGACGCTAAAGGTTAAGAAGATAACACTAAGTAGTGTTTGTAAACAATATCTTTAAAATTTAGTGCACTCAAATGAGAATATCTTTCCAATCTTGTTCTTACTACAAATTAACTGTCACATCTATCTTTGATTCCCACCCCACCCTCCAAGATAAAGTGCAATATATGTAGTTCTGAAAAATAGCACCAGCAGTGGTAGATATCTTGAAGCTGCAAATGACAAATCAAACGTGTAAATTAAAATCACAACATAACTTACGGTGTTCATGCAGAGCTCCAGACACACTAGTTTTATCTGCTAACTACTTCAAAGCATTCACTTGCCTATATATAAATGTGGCATGAGGATGTGTCATACATCACATCCTTGTGCCCCATCCTACTAAGACTGAAGCTATAATTGTGCATACCACCACCTTCTATAAATGTATTCATGCTGAATGGGCCAAGCATATTTGTGTATCTCTGCATACAACCCATGTAAAAGCCAACATTATTTACGATGTATAGGCAGAAAAACAGGTCAAATAAAATATACAAAAAAGCATTACTTTCTCATATTTCAAAAGAAGCAGACCGCATGGAGAGATTAACATTCAAATACTGACTCATAAGCACCCATGTAGGAGAAATAAGTTTGGAAGAGCAGAGCTTAGACAGCGTGCCTATTAGTGTTCCTGCTGCATAGAACTTGTGTTTATTAATACTCATCATGCATTAAGTACAAACATTTTTAAATTACCTCAGCATTGTAAAACTTTGTTTTCACATCCAATGGTTTGAGAACTTGAAACTTGAAAAATTTGCGAAATGAGAGCTGAGTCTGCGTTGGTGCTGTGTAACTAACTTCACACACAAGACTGAAAAACAGAAGAGAAAATACACATTTACTTTCAACATTAAAACTCATTTTCAGGTGACACTGTTATGAGGGTTACTCAAACACAACTGGTTTGGTGATTGTTTTGAGTGAAGGAGTAAGGCCATTAAAAATACTTACCATGCATGCCAAGGCAAACATCAAATTGACATACCAGCTGATGGATCTCCTCAGCAAAGAAATTCCTTGGCTACTGCTGTCACTGTATGGCCTTGACATATTCAATTTACTCAAATCTACAACCCTTTAGCATTTCCTTCAGGGAGCCAAACACGCGGTAGTCACAAAGTGTCAGATTCAAGCTGTATGGGGGGCAGGCATTGTCACACAAAAATAACAACCCTCATAAGCATGCCGTGAGACTTTTTTTTGATTGTGGTAAAAAGGTCTCAGAGGATTCCACAGTAGTACTGTACAATGGTAGTTATCTGAAGGTCCTTCAATGACAAAACCAAGGAACTGAATGACAGCTTGTTGGCTGTTTGGATGCATTCTGTGCCTGAAATACCGACATTTAACCATATCACACTTTTCCTGTTTGATGTAATGTGCACAGCTTTTGGATGAATACTGATGTATCATTAACACAGCCACATCATCACCGATAATTGTATTTTCTAGCAGCAGCACAAACAGGTTGCAACTGAAAAACCCTCAGACACAGACAGTACTTTTCATGTACATAACAGGTGCAACATACACTGCAACAGATTATGTTTAAACAAGTTATTCTTTCCATGGCACACCCAGTGTTTAGAACAGAGATCTTACACCTAATAGTGAAATCTGTATAAAGTCAAATTCTCCATTTGTGTTCTCTCACAATGGGTGTTATGTAGCTATATTTCTTTCAAATTTTGTAGCAATTAAGAGCTGTTGCTGTTGTGGGTTAAAGGCATTCTAGCTTCTGTGGCTATTTACACTTATTTCTGCTTTAACCTTTGAAGTCCCACACTGTCTTTAAGCTACAGCAGTAATATTTGCAGTTGGCCAACTGTGTACTTAAAAGCACAGCACGTTTCGTATCACATAGCATGACTTTGTTATCAATGTATTGGATTCTAATCCAAGAAAACAATGTCAGTGAACTGTACGATGACTATATAGCCTTCATAAATGTTGTCATAAGGGCTCCTTGCTTTTCTTTCATAAATATTTTTATTTAACCTCACTGAACAAAAGCTAAAATATGTAAGTGAGAAAGGCCTTCTTATGTTAGGCTGTACTCTCAAAGTTTCAATTAAAAACTGAGTACAAGGCTGTAAAGTATATTAATAACTTGATTTTAAAATGGGCATAAGTAACTACTGATTCACAATGATAAATTAACTTTTTAAATTTACATATACATTTTTTATTCATTTATGGGTAGAATATAACAATATTTTTAGTGCAATTACAAAGGCATATTTTATTGTTATACATAAAAAACGTTAATCTGAGGATGCACTGTAATTGCATATTTTTCATTAGTAATTTTCCTGTGCACTTTTTGGTTTCACTGAAACAATAAATTTTGGTAGGCTTCATGTCATTTACTGACATGCTAACATATGGCTGCTCTCTAATTAAGGGACTCATTTTGCCAAAGTTTAGCATTGGTGTGATCTATGTTTATGGTCAGTTGCCCACTCTGTATTTTTTAGTCTTCTCTATACTGTGTGGAAAGCTTTGTAATGTCTGTAATGTTAGATCCAACAAAATGTTCACATAAAAAAGAAAAGCAAGGGAAGAGAAGAGGTTCACAGCCCACAGCCTTGCAGTACTCACACCTGTACTGGATCTGCAGCAGAAAACATTCAAGTCTAATGGATGCAAATTCCCAGCATTTTTATGAATATCACAGTGTATTCCTGACCACTTGCCTTTTTTCTAGATGGCCAATTTCTGAATGAAAACATGTCACATAAATAATATAAACAGAGATAAGATTTAATACAAATGTAATAATAAACTATGTAAGTTCCAATACATTCACAGGAAGATGGAATATGAAGGGAAATATTCCACAGTGCCAGCAATTTTCTCTCTATGCACAGTGCAAATATGACAAAGTTATTCATGGAACTGTGAGATTTCATGTTCTCACAGTGGCCATTATGAAGATGACTATCTTCTGTGTTGCTGTTTACCAATATTTCAGAGATGATGGAGGCAGCAAGCACCTATGAACCACTGGTATAGTTCTACTAGACTACACTGCACAACAATCCACACAATGGTCATCTACAAGTTATGGATGTGTTTCTCATAACAAAGACCCGGAGTCATGTCCAACACTGTAAAATGTAACCAACAGACTTAATAAATGTTAAGGTCGATCTGGTTCCCATACAAAACAGTTCCTGACATAAACATACAGTTAACTGTGCTACCCTCAGACCCTAAATGTTAACCCTTTGTCTTGGCTAGGTGGAGTGCGAACCTCTCATGAATCATGTATCATTATGAAAGGTGGTTTGAGAGGACAGGCATAAATGCATTACTAAAGAAATGTAAACTGCTACAACTTACAGCCAGACATATAGTAGTTTCACTTCATACAATTAAGTATGAAGGTGCCCTATACAGGTTATACACAATCATGAAAAAAGTCACTGAGCAAGAGGCCAAACGTGCTGAAACATGAAGGTTTCCAGATGTGTTGCACACCTTGTAACAGAGACTCACATGTGAGTGCCAACTTCCTTAACTTCATGATGGATGACATCATCAACTGTGTCCTGAGGATGAAGCTCTGCTGTAACACTTTCTATCTGATGACCTGATAGTGGAATGCGATGCGAAGTGGTCTGGAGATCAGCCTGCCATAAAGTCAAACCAATATTGTAAATGGGTTCTCATGACTGTTTTCTTATGGAGGGACAGTAAAGAAGCAAGCTCACACATATGTATCTGTGATTCACAGAACCTGTCAACACCTCACAACTACACGGACTCCAGTTTATCATGAGACTGACAGCTTTTAAATCTGAGGTTGGCAGGCTATCTGCTTCTTCCCGGAAAACTAACCGTTAAGTCCCTCACTGGCTCAGACCAATGCACAGTCATTCTTCAAACAGTAGACGTATGTATGCATGTCACAGGACTGCACTGTGTCATGAAATGGTACAAAATATAATGATGCTTTTTCAGAATAAAATGCAAAGATCATTAAATATAGATTCCTGAAACCACTTCCAGTATAACATTTTTGCCTCACAATATGGAGGGAGAAGTCTGCGTATAACTGTCATTTTGTAGGGTCATAACTTTAATAGCTTCGTTGTAATGTAATTGTAATTGAGATTTCAAAGAGATGTACTGGCTTTTTCATGAAGTGCTTGAACACAATGAGTGCTCAGAAACTAATGGTGAATTTATTTTATAAAACAGTAAATTCCAAGTGTTATGCGACACCCCTTTTTGATCAAATGACTGAAGATGAAAAACCATGTGGGTATCTGATGCAGGACAATGCTACATTCCACAAAGTTAATGATTCTATAAATGTGTTAGCTGAAGGCATTGGTAAATCAGCAATATGTCAAGGGTTGTGGCCTAGTCACTAATCCAACTTAAATCCTTGCAACTTTTATTTATAAAGCACACTGAAAAATAAAATATGTGATTAACCTTCATTTATTACAAAAGCTGAGAGGAAATATCTGACAAGAAATGTCCATTATTCCATGACAACTTCACCATGCTTCTAGAAACATTTTCAAGATGTGATGCCTACAAACAAGCAGTAGTTTGGCACTATGAGACTCCAATCTCAACTAACATAGGTCATACTGCAAGAAGGAAATGGGCGGTGAATAATGGCTTCTTTTGCTTTGCTATAACATTGTCCAATGCCCAGACTCATGATAAAATGGACACCATTTGTTTGACAAAGTTCCTGTGGAGACTGACACATTTATCACACTTTTATATAACCTGTTTATGTCATGTTCTTTCAACCACTGTTTTACTAATGTTTCCACTAACCTCCCAACTGTTCCTTCAGCACTGAAACAGTTGAAGCAATATCTAAGTCACTCATCATTTGCACGATATGATTAGTGTTTCAGTCTCCATGTGGACTATGAACATAAACAGTTTACAAGTTTTATGATGACACTGTATTATATACTGATAATAAAAATAATTTCATGATATTATGTGCTCCATAAACTTACTTCTTGATTCTCCCTCATAGCTAACTTGATGGCTTACGGAACCTGAAGGTTCATCACCGAATTAACCAAAGCCCTCCACCGGACCTTGTCCTGGACCAACAAAATCCAGTCTCCTTCAACTCCTATCTCCCATAGATCCTGCCTGAGATTATCATCCCATCTACGTATAGGTCTCCCCAGCAGTCTTCCCCTCAGGCTTCCTAACCAACACCTGGTGCACCCCTCTTACCCCATCCATGAGTGCCAAATGCCCCGCCCATCTCATTCTTCTTGACTTATCACCCTGACAATATTGGGGGAGCAGTACAAATTTTTAAGCTCATCATTATGCAGTTTTATCCATGCCCCATTGCCTTATATCCTAGGCCCAACACCTTATTTGCAAACACCTGCAATCTGTATTCCTCCCTCAGAGTAAGAAACCATGTTTTGCACCCATACAAAAGAACAGGCTAAATTATTGTTTGCATATTTTAATCTTCAGGTTCTTAGAAACCAGATGGGAAGACATAATATTTTGAACTGAGAAGTAGAAGCATTTCTGGAATTTAGTCTCCTTGTACTTCCTCATGAATATAATTTTGATGATTTTCCCTTATAATTAGGGCAAAAACGTCAGCCAAATAATAACCACACTAATGGCTGTCACTTTGTATCAAGTGGTCAGAGTTAAAAATCAAAGATGACAGTGGCAGAGAGCTTGAGTTACAGGTTTCTTAAAATATGTGTTCTTTTCATGGATGGGGCTAGTTAGTTAACTAGTGCGAATTCCTGAGTTTCAGAACAACTTGGGATGGAACAATTGGTAAGATGCTATGCTTTAGTGTAACAACATACAGTCACAATAGTATCCCAACCAAAATTCAAACCACATACCTCAAATATTACAAGTCTAGAGTATTATTGCTATATCATCGTCTTCAGTAAAAATAACAAACACCCCACTCTTACAGACTGTGAAACTTAAAGCACTCATCCACTATAAATAGTATACTTTACTGTGCAAACATGGATTTTCTTATGAAAATAACACATTTCATAACACAACATTTTAGAACTTTGAAAATAACTGTCTTCTGGAATGTTGTGCCAAGTATTCTAGTAGATATTTACCAACACTTCACTGGAGCTTACCGTATACATAAACATGGTAAGTTGCAAGTACAGTACCTGAGGGAGGCGGCTGTAAAGAGACTGGTAACAAGGACATAACAGTATATCTTATTTTTATTTTCCTTTTCTTCTTACTTTATCCTCATTCTACATATTGTATTTTCTCTTCATTTCCACACATCTGCTTCTCCCTAACCCCTACAGCCTGGCTCAGATCCCTCCTTCTCCCATTGGCCCCCTTACTCTGCCTAACCTCATTCCAGTTCTCCCCCACTCTGCCATTGGACCACTCAGGACTGTACCTAGTCTAACCTGCTTCTATATCAACCAACATTTTCCATGATGCCATGAGATGTGTCTAACATTACTTGGCTACCCTGAGGATTAGCATGCTTTTCCTCAGTTGTAAGGCAAAGGTCAGAGTATAACTGAAAAGAAGCATGGACCAACTATCCCGAATCATAGGGGCCTTCAGGCAAAACAATCCCAGCCTTTCTTGGTGCAACTTATTAACATCCAACCAACCAAAATTCTTTTCACAAAGGACAAACTGCATGATGGGATCATCCTCCCATCTGCAGAACCAGCCCCTAGTCTGATCATGTTGAGGCCAACATGACAACAATCCTGTTTGCCTAACGTCATCCCCAATTATAGACTATAAGGCTCTGTTTACCAATTCCAGCCATGCATTCCATATGCATAAATTGTTCAACCTAGCAATTGCACAAGACTCCATCCTTAGAATTCTGGTTGGTTGGTTGACTGCATGGCTTTCTCATCACCCTGATTAAGTAAGCTCTCTGAAATGTCAGTGAATATCTATCAGACTACATGGCACACGTTCCCAGAAGCCAGCCATTTTCATATCCATCACCATAAGAACCTGAAATCCCACCTTTTTATATCTAGTTTCCCTGCTGAAGGAAATACAAAACTGTTGCCAGACTGACTGATGCTGTGTGAATTTCTAATGCTGCACTACATTATAATTATTATAAATGGTGAAAACAGAATGACCACACAAAATATCATGAAGATATCCGTCTTCTGGGTTATTGCGCTGTGTAGTCTGGTCGATGTTAACCAACATTTCAGAGGTCATACTGCCTCCGTCATCAGGGTGCCCTGATGATGGAGGCAGTATGACCGCTGTGAGAACCTCAAGTCTTACAAAATATCATGTTTTGCGGGTGTTACTGGGGATTCAAACCAGGTAATTCCAGATTAAATATGGGGCCTACAGTGAATGTTTAGGCTTATAAGAATTTTTCTTAATCAAATACAATATTATGTCTGACTTACCTTCACAGATACGTGCTTTGCAATTTCGTTGCTATCATTGTGGACACATATATAACTTGAGAATGTTTCACCAAGGTAGATATTCCTGAAATATGAAAAGTGGACACACCCATTTGTTATAGTTTCTGTCAAAATTAAAGCAAAAATACCTTACTGTAAATCAATTCGTCACACCAGTAACCTACCATGTTTTAAGCAGCATCAAATATATTGGTAATGTATAAACAACTTTGGCTTTAATAGAATGGAAAGATAAAGAAGTGTACACTAATAATATCAGAATCAGCACATCTTTAACACACTAATCCCAAAGACAACCTTTGGAAAAATTAATATCTAGTATTGTTGCAGTAATTAAAGCAAGATGAGATGCGCTCAGTACACAGTATCCTCATGCAAAACATGAAATATTTCCATAAAGAAACATTTATGGAAAGGTGTTCCTTGTTATACCAAAGTAATATTAAACTGGACTTGAGGAAAAGCTGTGTACTGATCTGAATAGGACTGGGCAATCAATATTTGGTTTCCATAATGGGAGTTCTGAATTAGACTGATTTCCTAGAGATCATCTCTTTGTTTATTCACAGACACTTTCACAACTGCATCAGTATTGCAGCATAAAATGGGAATATGATTGTGAAGAGTGTGGAAGGCAACAGTCACTACCACTTGTAAGGTAACTGCATGGAAGAAATAAGGGAAATAAAAACATCATAGTACAGGCTAAAAATCAAAACTGGAACCTGTAGAATATGAAACTGTAGTACCATCACACAATGATGTTCAGGATAATCCAAGAGTTACTTAATAAGGAATGGCCCATCACAAACTGTTATCAAAATGACATAACTAAGAAAGAAAGTCACCCAAAACAATGATGCTGACAAACTGCTGTGGCTGAGAATGTCACTGGGTAAAATTAAAATTTTGTGCACTCTACACAATACAACTTAAATGGAAATAACATCATAGTTAAGCAATTCAGTTTGGAGGCATTTAATATCATACTATGGCATGTAACTATAAAGAATTACCCAAAACTCTGAGGCAGTAAAAGAAACTGTCCTGCAGACAAAGTTTCTACACCAGGAACTGATGTAATGTCATGCCTGAGGTCACTGTTTAAAAGGTTACCAGGAAGGTCTTTAGAATCACTGGTAACAATAACAGGACTGCACAAAGTTGGTCTCGTCAATCGCATCACTGAAACAGGAAAAGAAAAATTCAATGTCAGTGGTGGCGTCTGCAATAGTCTGTGTAACCAGGGCTGTGGATTCAGTACTAAAATCTCTGACTCCGACCTCAACTCCTTCATAAAAGCTAAATATGTATTAATAAGGGTAAATCTACTAAAATGGTAAATGGCACCATAAGAGATTTCATCACCACCACATGAATCATCAGCCTACTTTTTAAACTTATAACCTATATTTAAATATATGTCTAATGGTTATTGCAGAAATCAGTTGATCTGTAGACAGTTTGTATTCTTATGGTACCGAGCCAAAGTTACAAAGCATTATTCCCACACCATGTGGCTCAACGCGTCGTTGAATCTCCCAAAGCATGAGGCTGCCGGCGGCTCACACGATATAGAAATTGTTCTCAAGATTTTATATCGAGGTCGGAGTTGGTACATTTTTACCGACTCCACCTAAAATTGCTTCCAACTCTGACTCCACAGCCCTGTGTGTAACTATATAAACTTGAAACATCCCTTCTGAATGTAGAGAGACATTCTTGAGAGAAATGATGAAGCCTACCAGATGCTGCTACCACCCTCAGTTTGTCTTAGCTGTGGCAGCAGACTAGTACTGATATCTGGTGGGCATAGCTCAGCCTGTATCCTTACTGACACAAGTCAGGAAACAAAATAATGAATTAAACTTGAGAATAAACTCAAAGTTGGTAGCAGTGTTTCCTTTACTTCAACAACAATGAATATATAGAGTGCAGGATGAGGATGTGATTGTTTTTCTGTAGGCAATGGTAGAAAAAATGTCACATCCTTGTGCCCCCACCACAATGACAACCATTGTTGGGTACATAGTTGCACTTCCTCCACAATCAACAACATGGTTATACCATAATGATTACATCATAATGCATGATTTGGTATGAAAATAGTTCAGAAATATGAACATTAGAACATAACAAAAGTGCATCAAACCGTTACTAAACACTGGATGTGGACAGACATAATTAATTATAATAGACTGCTCATCCTCCTATATCAAAACTGGGTTCACAGACTGGGACCACTAGTACAAAAAATCTTTATTGCACTTAGATATCTAAGGTAAGAATATAATTTAACAAGTATGATGGAAAAAATCCAGATAGTGAATACTTTTAAGTGTAATCCACCATCGTCAGATCCATTTAGAATTGAATTAAGAATATAATGTTGGTCTTCTGAGTAGCAACACCATGTGGAAACTGCAGACACCACAATTCTCTAAAATGATGGTACCTACCTACAAGTCCATATAGCATTACCACCCAGAAGACCAACATAAACATCTGCACCACTCTCAGAACCTCAAATCTAACAGAGGTTAAATTAATTTTGTAATGCGTAGGTATGATTAGATCATCAATAATCTAAATTCCTCTTTAACATGTTCATGTTTATTCATCCAAATAGTATAACAAATAGTAACAAATAAATATCAAAAATTCTGTATAGAAACAGCAAAACATCTTGCATCTTCTATTATGGGACAAATTCATTAATGACAGTACCTTCCACAATATCTGAGAAAGTCATGTACAAGGCAGTAACTGGTTTCTTATCTTTTACTGTACCCCTTTAAATCACCAGTGTACAACTCAGATAGACCAAGTTCTTTTCATGGGTATTTAAATTTATATGCAGACTTTCACAATATCATTGACATCTCAGCAACTACTTCACCGAAATCAACAGAATAAAAAGAATATGATATCAAATATAATGAAGTACAACACAGAATGGTTCTTAATATACAGAATCAGTATTCTTGGTGCAAATTCTGAAATTTACCTATAATTTATAAAAACAAAAATATAAAACAGTTGTTTTTTACTCACGTGTGTACAGAAATTCATCAAATTTTTATCTTCATTGCTGGTCCTATTTATTATAAATCAAGTACTGTGTGGTATTCTTCAAAGCAAGGATACACACAGTCCCACTCTGCACTTGACTCAATTACAATCTGACCGCTTACGCATTCTGCGCATTGAACAAACTTGGCAACGCAACATATTGCCTTTTCCTGGTCAGTGCTGGCTACGTCTCAGTTCAAGATGACCCACTTTTGTAGCTGTGGGGTTTGGTCTTTCTACCATACAGGATGAGGGAACCCCAGTTTTCCAGATTCATTTATCATATTTCTCACCAAGAGAAATGCGAAAACTAGATGTAAATACTTGGCCCCACAGACTCCAGCCATGGAGTTTCCTTCTGTTCATGGTTGGTGCACATTAATCAAAAAGTATACTTCTCTACTGTCTTTTCATACTAATGCAGTGAAGCCTCCCCTGGTTCAAGCTCAAATGTCACCCCTCTTCAGTCAGTGTTTTAAGTCTGGTCATGTGTCATGTATTTACAGTTAGGTCATACAGTTCCACAACAGATGAATTTTTCTGGTAACAAGATCATCAAATGAAGCAGGAGAAGAGAAGAAATTATCCATAAACAGTTTATGCTCAACTCCTTCCATCCTCCTGGTAAGATTTCTAAGAGTTACATGTGATATAAATGATCTAATGCTCTTTGCTGATACTATTATTGTTATTTATCATCTTAATAGCAATTACTTTCACAATTCCATCTAATGACATCTTAGCTGACCTGAGCAAATTGTTTGAAGCCATGAACTTACATTAAATTCTGGCAAAATAAAATTAATGAAATTGGCTACTAACAAAAGAAAAGTATTAACTGTAATACAGATAATGATAACAAAACAACTGAAGAAATAGGAAGAACTAAATTATTTGTCTTAAAAATTAATAGTAACTTAAACTGCAAAAAAGCACATTGAATATAATGTCACCAAACTACTTCTTCTTCTTTTGTAATCAATCCTAAGATTGGTTGACAGCAGCTCTCCAAGTTTCTCGATCCTCAGCAAGTCTTTTCAATGCTGTGTAGGAAAGGCAGCTGGTGTCCTCCATTAACTGTTTATTTTATATTAACCTCGGTCTCCCCTAGCGTTATTTCCCTCTACAGCACCTTCAAGGAACGTCTTAATCAGTCCGTCATGTCTTATGATGTGCCCGACCCAGATGTTTCTTCTCTTCTGTATCGTATCCCACAGGCACAACTTCTCCTCCTCAATCCTCAGCAGTGCAGCATATTTTGCCATAAGGACTGTCACATCAGTCTTGGAAACACATACTTTAAAGTTAGTTTACTTTGCTTATTTCCAATGACTTTGTCATAAGATGTTACCTTCTGGAGAAATTCAACAGAGGGAGAAAAAAAAATTAAATTAGGATAATGGACAATGTCCAAAAAGTTAATCATCTCTGAAAAAAGTATGTAACATCCAACAACGGTAAGTGTTAAAGAAATCTCTCTTGTAGAGAACCATTTAAAAATTTATTAAAATTACCCTTGTGAATGAATTCTTACTCTCATTACTGTCCTCCAAACAAATTCTGACACAAACAGTATAAACACAAGGGTTAAACATGACCTGAACATACTAAATGCTAACCTCACTAGTTATCAGAAAATATGTTAAGTATGCATAAATCAAGTTATTCAATACTATTCTACCTAACATTAAAATGTTAAATTATGATGTATTTAAGCCAGCAATGAAAGATTACCTTATGTCTGTCTTCTTCTACTTGTAGAATAATTTACTTTGAGTGAAAATACTTAAATAATTACACATTAAAGCATAACCACTATTTCTTACATGTATTTATAATAGATGAAAATTTTTGGTTGAGGTAAATTCCTTTGACTAGGAGTGATATACGAGATACTCTTTTAGTGCTGGCTAAATCTCCTTAAATTGTGATCAAGAGTTTTATAGTGGGGGAAAAGATCACCGAATAGCTTAATTCCAATACACTAAATTCTTTTTTTTTATTTACTGAGTCTAGTGTTTGGCACATGAAGGTTATATCTGTACCTTGTACTTATATTGTGGTTATCTAAGTTTGCTTGAAATCTATGTTGTCTACTATAACTGATAATAATGACAGCAAGCATACACTGGCTAATGGAAGAACATTTCATAGACATCTCCCTACTCAAGGCTCTCCTTTGAGAGCCTGCCAATATTCCAATGACTTTCTTTTGAATATAAAAAACTATTTTGCTGTCTGTTAAGTTTCCACACAAAATAATTGCACGTGACAAGATCATAAGCGAAGTAAACTAATTTTGAAGGTTCTGTTTTCATAAGCGATATGAGTCTTCATAGCAAAGCATACTGAGCTTAGTTTAGGAATAATACAATGAATATTTTCCCAACTTCAATTACTGTAAACTTGTTGGTGAAGAAATTTCGTTGTTTCAACTTCTTTAATTGTTTTATCCTCATATCCCACACTTAGATTAACAGTGATGTTGTTGGGAGTACAAAATTTCACTAAATTTGCTTTGACAAAATTTAATGTGAGTTTATTACCTTTAATTCATTTGTTCAAGCCAACAAACACATCATTCATACAACTTTGGAAACAATTTCTGGATGTGAAACAAGAATATTAGTATCATCCACAAGAAGCATGGGTTTAGATGAGAAGTAAATAGTTTGAGATTATATGTTGATATATATGACATAAAGCAGAGGAGTAAATACTGAACTCCATGTTTTATAATGTCCCGATTTTAGCATATGCTATTGTTTGAATCTGGTGATTCTATTTCTACTTGCTGCCTTCTGTCATAAAGGTATGATTTAAACCACTGACCCAACTATATTTCGAATTCCATAAAAATGTAGTTTTGGCGGAAATAATTCATCCACCACTTCCTCCCTTACACATGACTTTCTACAATATTTTAGAGAATGCTGTTAGTAATGAATCCGGTCTGAATTGGAAATGCATGATTTTTTCACCTTATCATATGGAGGTTCAACCTTTGAATATTCGAGTCATACTGGGAAAACTCCTACTACCATTGACTGATTCCAAAGATAACAAAATTAAATAACTTGAAGGAAAAATAAAGTAGTATTCACAGCTTCGGAATACAAATTATATTCCAGTCCATTCTAACCTTTCAGAGCCAGAATATGCTCACTTCTATCTCGTCCTTCCATTTTAGGACGATAACTTACTCAACACTTCACTTTCATGACAACGTAAATTACGTAAACACCACAACGGAAGTCAGCATCTTATTAGTTAAAGAATTTGAGGTTTTAACGGCAATGTGTTTGAAGGTTACTATCTTCTGGGTTGTTACGCCTTGTAGTCTGATAGAATAGTTTATGATCACAGATAAAAAATACATGTTTACAACAGATGATAAAAGTAAATTGTAAACTCAGCGTTTGTGATCTCGATCCACAGCTATAACGAAGGGCCCTCAATATTGGAAATAATGGATTTTCTTTTGCAGTTATTGTGGATTTCATCCCGTGCATATCATAAAGTATCTGAAATCGTAGTTGGTGCTTCACATTTTCGATTCGTCATTGCCTCTGTACCTAAAAACTCACTCCAGATTTTGTTTCCAGCCCATGGCCTTTGAATTTGGAGTTGTCCCAACGTGCTCTTGGAAGACAGCAATGGTTATAAACGTATACATTAGGTAGTACGAAGGGTTCTTTCGTTATTTTATCAGCTAGTCTCCACGGTTGCATTTATATATGCCAGTAGCTTAGAATTAGAAAAAAACCACAGGTAATAATATCTTGTTATACGATGTGATCTATTTAAAACAATCGAGCGTTAGCTAGGCAATATTTCGATGTCGTACAATCATCCAACGAAGGGCTGTCATTTGTAGAGGCAAAGCATTCATTCGTGTGTTTATGTCATTGTGAGGCTGTCCTTTGTATCTGTTATTGGAAGCCGCATTTCGAAGACCAGCATAGCTTGTCGATCTACATTATGTAACCTCTTTGTATTTAACTTCCTGTCGTAGACATCTTTGAAATTTTCTTTGTAATTGTCTGTGATCTTATTGGACTGAGTGGTGGAGGTGGTGGATTGTTGTCAAAGTATGAAGTAGTGAAGTTACACAAGAAAATTAGGACGAATATTATTTAAATAATTATAGGTTCTTACTGTAATTCGTCACGCATATTAGCACAAGGTGTTGGATTTTATGCACCTAATAATACACAGAATAATTTCAGTCTGGCAAAATTTAGCAACAATCTCAATACTTGCAGTCACAGAAATCTTGCACACCATCACAATTTAGTCACATCATTATAACTTTAAAGTCTGTGCTGCATATCTTTATTGAGTTTTCTTGTTGCTAGGTACATTTTGTCAATTCAGAATGAATTTTAACTTTGGAAGTGCTTCAAAATCAGGAGGAGGTTTTACCTTGCAAAATGCTGCACCACCTGCAACCAGTAAGACATCAACATTAAAATCATTGCTGATGCAGAATGTTTTATAATCAACCATACATCGGGGGGTTAGGGATAATGTTAATACAGTGTTGGCTTCATTTCCAACCATTGTGAAGCTAGAGATGATTCAAGATGTGTGAGCAACAAATGCCTCCTTGTGTGTTGTTTGATATATGACAACACTAGTGTCATTTTTGCTAGAAGATTTTACCGGTGCTGATGCAGTTTGCTTCTTATATCAGTTGTGTGTTGGTTCTGATATGTCATGGGCATTATTAAAACTTCCTGATGATGAAATAAACAAGGCATAGGATCTTCTTTCAGCACATTGAGTTGCCTCCACATTTTGATCATCAAGTTATGGTATTCTTGAATCAGTTACAGAAATGGGTTTTCCAGTAACTTGGCTGCTGAGATTTCCAGGTCTATACCTGCATGATTTTTTGTGAGGTGTAATGGTGGAGGGAAATTGTGTGACCAAAGTAAACATAAGAGAATAAATCCTGTGTCAGATTATGAATGCTTTTGCCAACATATAAGAGCATCCAAAAATGATTTCAGTGGGCTATAAGCTTTTGTTTGGAACAAGCAAGTTTGTTCACTGAAAACAGTGGCAGACATTATTAACAGAAAAAGAGTGGGGGCCAAGGATGTGACAGTTTACTGTAGCTAGCCTACAGAAAACCACATCCTTGCACCCAACTTTATATAAGATGTGTCTTATAAAATGTAACTGTAAATTCATTTAATTAGTACTCATGTATTTTCCTTACATTTACCTTGAAATAACCACAGCTTCTCAGTACTGGAAGTAGGACCAATGTTTTGTATTAACATTTTTCCAACTTGGAATTACCCCCACATGAATGGCAGAATGGTTGAGGAACACTCTGTGAAATCATTATGTACATGAAGATGTGGCTTGCATGTTTATTGCGGTAGCATCATTAAATTTAAGATTTACGAGAAAGGTTAAAAAAGTGAGCCTAGGAACAGTATGTGGAAATGGGATGAGCTTTTGAGACCAAGATTAAGCAATCTTGTCATTTGCGATGATTAGTCAGGATATGTCAATTCACAAGCACAATTAAATTGAACTGTACAGTTAAAATTACATCAAAAAAGATATAGTTTGTGGCTAAGTATTAAGTGATAAGAGATTTTTTAGTAAATTATGCTTGTGCTGACAAAAATGAGCAAACATCAGAGGATGTATAATGTGGATAGTACAGGATGGATGTGTGTTACAATATTATGGTACAGTGTGGTGACCAGTCAGTCCTAGCAGGTATCTATAGTTAAAGTTATATGCCTCATCTTTCAGCATTAGTCACTTTGCCAATGGGGTTAGATATCCCTACATCAGAAATGGAAACCTCCACAAATTTTAGAACAGGCAGGTCAGGATGATAGCTGAGATCATAATTGGAATCATTAGTCACAACATAGGGATCTGTGAATGTATTCAGCTGTAAATTAAGTCAGTAAAGTAGGGGTACAGGAATAATGGGCAGGGAATCCACGTGTGTATTATAAATGTTATTTCTGCTTGAGAAATTTCACTAGTATCTTAATTTTGCAGCCACCACAACCGCAGGTGGTGCAGATGCAACTGCTTCAAAACCATCAGGTAAATTGTAGGATTTTGTGCTACCTGCATATGTACAACCTAGAGGTATCTCTCAGTACATTAATGCATTTGCTTGTAGGTTTAGGGCTGCAGCAAAAGACCACCACAGCTGTTACTGCCCAGTCATCAAGTACGCCTGGTTTTTCCCTCACAGCAAGTACAACCACATCATCAGCTGCATCTCTTCCACAGTCTATCCTAGCAACTAGCACTGTGTGAGTACAATGTATAGAATTTTTTTAAATTCGTTATATGTGAGCAAAGTAGGTATCTATTTGTATTCAAATTTCTTTTTTAATTATGGTCATGAGAATTATGCGATGAAATATGCTGTTTGTCATGATGACACAGCATAATACAAATGTACACATTTATAACTGGCAAGTACATTAATACATCTGAGAAGATAGAATATCAAATAAGATGGCTGAGGTTAATAGGATGGATGTAAAATTCTCATGTTCAAAGAATACGTTATGAATATAAACCTGAAGGAGAAACATGGAACATCCATTAATGCAATGAACAGACAAGTTTTAACACTTACATTTAGACATTACACATTATTAGCACAAGACAGGTTTTAACACTTTCAGTTCTTATATTTTATAAATTTTGAAATTTAAGTCTTCAAAATTATGTTTGGAATCATCCAAATTTGTGAAGGTGACAATGAGCTCAATACATGCGGAAAATTTAAATGTTCATATTGCCAAGCTATTATTGAAGCTAGTAATAAATTAGCTACCATGCGCATGTTACTTGTGTACTGTAACATCTCAGGAATGGACTGTAAAATTATATTTGACTATCAAAGACAGTGAAAGCAAATTAATCTTTATTATGTGGGAATAGCAAATTTTAACACATGTATTATAGGGCTGCTGGCGGGTCTTTTTTAACTCCTGCATTAATGGTTTAACAGTATGGCAATGCAATGCATGGCCAGCTGAAATGTGTATGCTGCAACACATGTGCAGTGAAAGTTAAAAATGTAAGAATTATTATATTTTTGGAAAGGTCAGTGTATTTTTTAATAAGTGGCACATAATGTGTTTATAATGATATTCACAAATGTAAAAACATGTATATAAGAATTTAGGCTTTCATTGTGACTAAATGCAGTAAAATCTTCTTGGGAGACAAGCTGCTTCAAAATGGAGTCATAGTCCAATGTTTCAGAGACACCATCTGTCTCCATTTTCAGGGAATGTGATGGGTACAGTAGTTTGCTGTTTATATCTTCCAAATGTGCTGCCCTTTTATGTACAGCCTTTGAACCCATCTTGGTACCATTTGTATGGACATGCAGCACCTGGTATTTGATGTAAAAGTGATGAAATCAGTGTTGTCTAGGTCCGGCCAATCTGTTGTCATCATTTTGAATGGCAGTTCCCCTCCAGCATTTTAACCTGTCTCCACATCGATGAACCTCACCCTTCTTAATGGCTGTCACTCTCCAGTTCTATGTTCTTTGGGCTTGTCACTTAATCCCACTTCAGTCCTCTCCGTCCCACATCCCCGACAAGTTCTGTTGAATCCTATTGGTCTTACTGAGTAAACTAATAAGAAAATCTCTGATCTGTGCAGCCTGGAAGGGGAGATAGCTAACTAACTAGATAGCTTACGGAACCTGTGGGTTCATCACCGAATTAACCAAAGCCCTCCACCGAACCCTATCCTGGGCCAACAAAATCCAGTCTCCTTCAACTCCCATCTCCCATAGGTCCCGCCTGAGATTATCCTCCCATCTACGTCCAGGTCTCCCCAGTGGTCTCTTCCCATCAGGCTTCCCGACCAATACCCTTTGCACATTTCTTGCCCCAACCAATGTGTGCCACATGCCCCACACATCTCATTCTTCTTGACTTAATCACCCTGACAATATTGGGGGAGGAGTACAAATTTTTAAGCTCATCATTATGCAGCTTTCTTTGTACCCCATCATCTTCTCTCCTAAGCTCAAATGTCCTTCTCAACACCCTATTCTCAGACACCTGCAATCTTTGTTCCTCCCTCAGAGTGAGAGTCCATGTTTTGCACCCATACAAAACAACAGGCAGAATTTTTGTTTTGTATGTTTTAATCTTCAGGTTCTTAGAATTCAGATGGGAAGACAATATTTTTTGAACTGAGAAGTAGCAAGCATTTCTGGAATTTAATCTCCTCCTAACTTTCTCATGAATATCATTTTGATTTGTTTTTGTTCCAAAATATTTGAACTTTGTCAGAATTTCAAAGGATTTTTTAGCCACCCTAATATGATTTTACTTGCCTGTCTGTTGATGAGATACTAACATATACTTATTTTTTTTGTCTGAATTTACTTCTAGCCCCACTAGCCTCTAGTAAAACTTCTGTGTTCTTCTTTATTGTATTTACATCATCACCCAATAAATTAACGTCATCAGCATATCCCAATAGCTGATGTGTCCCATTCAGTTGCAAATCCTCTATCCTATCTTGGACTTTCCTGATGGTATATTCTAGTGCAAAGTTAAAGAGTAAGGAAGGAGAGATAAAAACCTAAAGAAAACATTTCAAGAGAATGGTTACATCACAATGGAGATACAACACGCACTTTACCAGAAGAGAACGCACAAGACTCCAAAGAGTAAACCAACTAGCACGGCCATCATACAGTACATGCCGACAGTGTCGGGAAGGTTCAGTAGATTTCTTGCCAAGTACAACATTAGGACCATTCATTGGCCTGTAAAGAAGAACAGCAAATTGCTAAGATTGGTGAAGGATGATTTGGGATACAATGTGCCAGGCATTTACCATATTCCATGTGAATGCAATAAGGTGTATGTAGGCCAGACTGGGCGCATGGTAACAGTTAGTTGTAAGGAACATGAATGCACATCTGACTCCATCAACCAGAGAAGCTTGCAGTCACAGATCATTTCTTAAAATCTGGCCATAAAATTTATTTTGGGGAGACCGCTGTTCTAGCTAAGAGCGTAGGACATATGGACAAACTAATAAATGAGGCCATTGAAAATCGACTGCACCCCGACGATTTTAAGACAGTGAATTCATGCTGAGTCAGGCGTGAAACCCATTATTAGTTTACTCAATAGGATTCAATATTACTTGCCTGGGACGGAGAAGATTGAAGTGGGGTTAAGTGGCATGGCAAGAACATAGAATTGGAGTGTGACTACCTTTAGGAAGTTTGAGGTCTGTCATTCAAGATGATGGCAATTGATTGACCAGATCTAGACAACACCGATTTGATCAATTTTACATCAAGTTCCGGGTGCTGTGTGTCCATATGAATGGTACCAAGATGGGTGCGTCCGTATTCCCTATTGGCCAATGGCTGTACATGGAAGGGCAATATTTTTGGTGGATATAAACAGCAAACTGCAGCTAGCCTTCACATTCCCCAGTGATGGAGACAGAGAGTGTCTCTGAAATATTGGACTATGATTTTGACGCGACTTGTTTGTTGCCCTAGAAGATTTTATTGTATAAAACATTTGTTGATCCTCTTATTATAAATTTAACTAGAATGATGTATATAATTATGTGAATTATCCTTTATAGTCCATTTTTCATTGCTTACACATGGTCCAGCTGGTTGTGCAATATAGTAGCACGTTATAAACTGTTCAAAGTTAAGGTTTTCCCAGCAGCCATATAATATGGAGGTTTAAATCCCCTGTTCCCATATGATGGTTATTATGCAAGAAGGGAGACAGCTTACATCAACTTCTGCTCATGTTCATAATTAGGCTGAGGATAATTTCAGAACACAATATGCATAAACCGTGATGTAGTTTATCCACACAAATTTTATGTAAGTAGATGCATGGCCAGTGAGATGAGAGAGATTGAAAGGAGGTGAAGCATGGTTTACCAGTGCAGATTATTTTGTGCATCCTCTCTACCATTTCGCATTCAAGTTTAACAACTCATTCCTCTGCAAAAGATGGATGGTGACATGACATTCTGAACTAAGTCATTTTACTTCTTCTTATTCATGCAATTTCATTCATCCATCCATTTGTTTATGAAAAAATTGTTTGTACACTTACTATTATTGAGATGTTTGCATTGTTTTACTGTATTTAAAATCATATTGCAACACTTCTAATGAACTGTGATCATCTCACTACTGAAATAATTAATATTATAAACTGCATTTTAGTTGTAGGGGAATCAAATTTTGAAAAGAATTATTATATTTACAAAAAATACAGTAGGATAGGAAAGTGAAATTGTTTGAGTCTGGACAGGAATTAATGGTGGGCTTTTGTGAACACAGTAATGAACTTTGGGGTTTTGTAAAGGCAGAGAATTTCTTTTGTTTAAGTAAGTGACTACTAGCTTCTTATTAAGTACACTAGGAGGGTGAAAGAGGTAAGGTTGGTTTATGGTTATGTTAGGCATAAAACTTTTAAAGGAAACCCAAATTCCTACACATCAGTGATATTAAATTTGTTCTTATCTGTGAAATGCATGCTATACTTAATAATTTTAAGTAATGCCTTCTCTCCTTATCTTGATCATTCAGAATTAATATGGTTTGATCACATCAGATGGGCTATATTGTTATTAGTGTTGAAACCAATTATCTGATGTTTTATTTTGGTTTTAAATACTTGTGTTATAAACCACATATGCACATTTTTATTTCAAGTGTATCCAGTGTTCCATCAGGTACAAGCACATCCCTCAACTTTTGTCAGCTGGAAGAGAGCATTAATAAATGGACTCTAGAGCTAGAAGAGCAAGAGAAAGTATTCATGAATCAGGCTACAGAGGTGAATGCATGGGATCACCTTTTGATTGGCAATGGAGAAAAGGTAAACTTAGTTGATCTTTGGGTTGAGTTTGTAGTAAATGGACGTTACATGTAGTGTACATGGGAGAGATGATGCATACAAAATTTTGGTCAGACAACCTTAAGAGAAGGGACCGCTTGGAAGCTTAGATAGGAGGATAATATTAAAGTTAATGTTACAAAGGTAGGATGAGAAACTGTGGTCTTTTGTGAAAAAAGTAATAAATATTTTATTTCCTTAAAATTAGGAAACTTTGTCTGTCTCATTAAATATCAGCCTTTTAAGGAAGTCTGTTTATGGAATAACTTGGTTGTTTGTAATTAATGTCACCTCACAGGCAATTTCATTATCATGGCATGTATAAATGATTTGAAATCATATACGAGGTGCGATCGAAAAGTTTCTAGACTGCGCCTATAAAAACCCGTACACTTATCTCAGGTATTAAATTCATCCATCACCCTCGAAGTAGTTCCCCTGGCTGGTTACTGACAATTCAGTTAAAAGGTTTATAACATGGCACCTGATGACGGCTCTATGATAGCCGAAACATGTCGTAAATGTTCCATATGTAAATCGAGTACTCGATACGGAACGAAAAATGATATTTTAATCTTTTAATTATCTTATATTGTGATTGACGGCCAATTTTAATATATTTTTAATACTATTTAAATAAATCACAATATGACGCACCTACAATATCTTATTTTGTATTTTATGTTGCTGATTTACATTGCAGATTGTTGATTTAAATAATGCAGTGGAACGAATGAAACTTGAACAACAGCAGTTGGATAATGAATTAGATTTCATCTTGGCACAGCAGCGAGAGTTGGAGGAGTGTCTTGCTCCACTAGAAAAGGAACTGGGCTCCAATGGGGTAGCTGATCCAGAGAGGGAACACATGTGAGTGTATCACAGAAATCACACTGTATTTCCATATTTCATAGAAATCAGGGTAACTTAAAACCTTACATACCGTGCAGTGTATTGAAATATAAAATCATGCCTGCAAGCAAAACTGTTTACATTTGGGCGTCCATGCATCGTTGAAGTTCATAGACACAGACGACGCAACCACGGCTCACCATAGACCAACGTCAATCAGGCCAGTGGACATAAAAGCTAAGTACTCAATTTAATACACCACCCCCTTTGTAATTAACATCCTGTGAGGTGTTACATAAGTATCATTTTGTAAAGTACATACTTTCTATGCTCTGTAGAAAACCATAATCTTTTGAATTGTATTACATGAATTAATTTGTTTTGCCTCTTGAGGTCGAAAAACATGTTTGACATTAGTGTCCTTTCAAGTGTAAACAGTTTTGTTTGTATGCATGATTTTATATACAGAGTAACTGCAATAGAACAAGTATGGTTTATAACGAACTTCTGAAAATGAGTGGATTGGTTGACACCAAGTTCGTAATTTTACATATATGGAAAATATACAGAATGAGGGCCCCCCCCCCCCCCCCCCCCATTGCCTTCATCATAACAAGCAATTAGCTGTGAACTCCGACGAAGTGTGGGTGGATTTCACAGGTATGGACGACGCAACAACAGCTCGCCGCAGACCAGCTATGGCCAGTGTTGCTTGATATGCTTTTGTGAAATAACTCCAGTTCATGATTTGTTTTCTAAACCATATTTAGACCAATTTTAAACCATTCTGATTAAATGAATTAATTTCCCTGTTGCCACTGATGATCTCTTGAGGTTGAAACGCGTATGGCACTAGTGTCTTTTTCATAGTGTTAATAGTTTGCTTGTTTGCTTACTTTATACAGGAGGTTGTGTATATATGAGAAAATCTTTAATTTCTACAATCTATGCTAAAATGTCAACAATATTAACAATAACATTAACAAATATAAATACTGTCATAATACATATAAGTTTTTTAAACCATAGTGCCATAATCACATATGTGATTAGAAGCTAGGAGACAGACTTGAAAATATATTCCAATAATGAGCATTTTTCATATTTTATAAATGCTCATGTCGCCTTCGGTGGACTAGTGGTTAGCAGGCTCGCCACTGGACCCAAAGTTCACGGGTTCAATCCCAGCCGAAGTTGATGAATTTTTAAGGGTGGATAAAAATCCGTAGCACAATAAGTAAAGCCAGCGGTCCAATGTCGTAGATTTACAGCATGTAAAAAAACCTTATGAGCATGATACGAGATGTTTCATAGGCAAATTCAGCAGCCATTTCTCACTCAAGTCTCCTGATTCACTGCTAGATGGCTCTGGCAGTCAATTTGGGATTGAGTAGAAATTGTGCAGTCAGTGGGCTAGTCACTCACTACTCATAAATGCACACTTCAAGACCAGGAAACCTCTCAGGAAGCCAAGACCTGAAAAGGGTTGTAGCGCAACTGATTATGATAAATTCTCGTATTAAGGTTGCACTATAATATGGAATGTCATTGTAGTATTATATTAACTTGATGGTGATCTGGAGAAATACCAATTGTCTCTGTAGGATGACTTCATTAAATGTTATCACCAACTTTGTACATTCTTCTGGTTCATGTTCATATTCAGTAGTATCAAAATAAAGGAGGCTTAGGTGGGCAAAAGACACATAAATGCATACATTTTTGTTGGACAGTGTCATTCCATACAGAGAGGAGACAGGTGTAAATGGGAGGAATGTATTAAAAAATATATTAGGGAAATAGGTTGTTAGTGTATTACATGGATTGAAATGGTCAGGATGAAATAAAACTTGACAATTGTTTTCTTTTTAGATACCAGATGGCTGAAAACATGGATACTCAATTGAAACAAATGTCTGAAGATCTGAAAGAAATTATTGAGCACCTAAATGAGACAAATCGAACACAAGACATCAGTGATCCTGTAAGTTACAGCACATATTTTTGTAGGTTTCATTTGCAAGTCACATAGGCTCTTTTTCATGGTTATGTATTCTCTTCCATCTGTATTAATTCTATCTTGTATTGTCAGGTTAGTAGCCAAGGATGGGGATAGGTGCCCCCATGGTGCAAATCCTCTGGAGCAACATTCACTGGGGGTCAGGTACCATTGAAATAAGCATCTTGGGGAAGGGCCTGGGAGGTAAAGTCCCAGGGGTTTAGTAATCCTTGTTTGGAGTAGGCTTTGGGAGCCTAACTTTTGGGTGTTGCAATGGGGGCTTAATCCTTGAATGTGGCCTAGCTCCATGCATGGCAAAACTTCTCGGGAGTAGTCTAGATCCTCCTCAGGCCTGGATGATCTAATTTCAGATGGTAGAGGTGTCAGAAACAAGTTAAGGCACCAAACTGAAGCAGTACATAGGGGGAAAATGCTCAGGCACCAGTGGAGGTTCAACCCGTCATGGAGTGACAAGGGCAGAAAATGAATTTACAAAGCCCAGTGTGGGGATGGGCTTCAGGAACAGGATGTGCAGGAGACCAGGCCCCATTGAAACAAGCATTGTGGGGAAGGGCCTTGGTGGTAAAGCCCCAGGGCTTAAATCCCAATTGGGAATAGGTATGGGAGGGGGGCATTACTTGAGTTGTCCCCAGGGGGTCCAGTACTCTGAAGTGGCCAAGCCCCATGGGTGGCAGAGTCCCATGGGGACAGTCCTGGTCCTCTTAAAGCCTGAATTATTTAACCTGATCTGAGAGGCAAAGAGGTGTCCAATATAGTGAAAGGAAGGCTAAGGAGTTAACAATAAGAATAACAATGAGAATAAGAAGTAAGAATTTCTTGAAAACAGGAACCTGGATGTCCTTCCAGTTGTGCAAAAATGGGTTCCATGTTTTGAATCCATTGTGAGTGGATTACGATTAACCCCTTCTGTTAGATGTTCTCCTGAAGATGGGGACAACTGGCTCCCAAAACAGTGGGCTTGATTTAGAATATTAAACAGTGGATGAAGTCTAGGAAAACAGCAATATTAAACATACTGCAGCATCATTAGAACCTGTAGGGTTATATTACAGGATGTCCATATATACTAACTAGTTCAGTAAAATTGTGTCCAAATGCTATGAAACACTGTCATTTAGGATTGTTTTACATACCAAAATTAATTAATCAATACAATCTAGGTAATTCCATCAGTCATTGGGTATGTATATATTGCAGCACCATTTCCATTTTAAAATTGCTTCAGTTCACAATAATGTATTCATGAATATTGTAACCTATGCGTCTATAAGAGTAAACTCTATCCATGTATGCCTCCTGTTAAGAGTTTTTAGCACCATAACATGTTAAATACATTATGTAAACCCCACTGCAAAATTATAATTTATTTTTGGTTTACATGAAATATAATTAAAAGAGGCCCAGGTTTCAATGTCAGAACTTCTTCACTTATACACTCAGTATCATTTTTTCTATAACATAAGTATCTTTATCTTAGTAACATGTAGAATAAATTAAATAATAAAGTAAAATAAATAAATTATCCTGAGTAATACATATTGAATATGAGAACCGTAATCTGATTTTAAAGTTTCAGGCTGCTTAGTATTGTCTATTTTCATCACTATGTAAAGCCTTGTATCGACTGCGCGCGGCTGCCTCACGCACCTGTTCGTCCGCGGCAAACTCGTTCGTTCGCTCATTGTGCTCGTGGTTACCAGCATCGAGCGCGGCAGCCGGGTTCGGCTGTGATCGACGCTGTTCGTCAGTTCTCGCAAGATCACCATGAATACAGCACAGTGAAATCCCTTTGCCGCGGGACAAAGAACCGCTCAGATTTGGCTCGATGCGCGCCAAGTTCGAGCGCGGCATTGTTCGTTCTGCCACGCGTGGCAACATGGTATCGACTTTGCGAGGCAAAGCAACGAACATTGCCTCGCGAGGCAGCCGCGCGCAGTCGATACAAGGCTTAAGATGCCTCATGTTAATTTCAAACATCCCATCATATATTTAAACTAACATGGTAATATTTTTTTCAGATTGTTCAGATTGGACGCATACTGAATGCACACATGAATTCACTGCAGTGGATTGACCAGAACACAGCTCTGATTGCAACACACTTAGAGCAGGTGTCAAAATTGCATGATGCTCACAGGAGGGAGAATGAGAGATCTTTTCATCTAACTTATGATTAAGGACTTCATGTACCTCGTGTGTCATGTATAGACATATGCAGAAGGATATGGTATATTTATGTAACATTTGTATCTACAAGAGAAATGCATAAGTTTTTCACTTGTTCTGAAGTTTCTTTTAATCTAAATTATCACATTCCATGAATATTTTGGAACAATAAATATAAATTCCATTGTTGATTTAATGCTATGTGCTTATATACATTTACATTTGTACAACTTATTTCCTATACCACATCTGTAGAGTCTTCATGCGCTTTATCTTCTTTTGCAGCTGCAGAATACCATACAGTAAAGCTTCTGCAGTAGGAGGACATCCTGAAACAAACACAATGAAGGCCAAGTGAATTAATTACTATACTTACACAAATTTAAGTGACAAGCTAGATCTTCAGTTGCTGTATCTTTCTTGGTATTATAATCAGCAAACAACTTGGCATGTGAGTAACATCAATTCCAGGAAATTGATAGCGAACCTACTGGAAACTGAAAATGCATTTGATTCTAGACTTGACTGCAGAAATTGCTATCCAGATCTGAAACCTCTTTACAGCAAGGTAGCAAGGTGTGGCCAAGACTTCCACTGCAATCATTACCATGGTCACTCACATGCCAAGTAATTTGCCCGTGGTTATAATCTTCAAAATCTGTATTCTTTCACTTACAGGATGACCTGGTCAATTATTACCCTTTGATTCGGCTCCAGTTTTGCAGCATGGTAGTCAACTTTCCTCTAACTTTTTGACCAAAATATTAGGTGTAGATACTGTGTTTCTTTGTAATACAAGCAACTCTCGGTTTATGAACGAGTTCTATTCCAAGACGTTCGTTATGCGGTTTTGTTTGTTATGTGTATCTTGCATTCCTGAGCTTTTACGATACGTATCTTTTATGTTAACAGCCATTTTAAAGCATTAAAACCATGTACTAAACATTGAATGGTCTATACAATACGTTTACAATACATTATAATAGGGGGAATCACCGATTTATTTCCAAGAAAACATTCTACGCAGTGTGGCATGTAAACCAACGTTTTTTTATTGGCTAGATTAGTTTTATTAACCAAGAACAGTTCAATATAATTATAATAATTTTCTGATAATTATTGTAATAAATACATTTTTAAAAGTTTATTTATCTAAATCTTACAATTATGTTCACTATACGTTTAGAATTTCATTTTATAAGGAACTCTATTGGCGACTTTAAGAAATTCTGAATGAAATGTCACGTTCGTTACAGCGAATGTTCATAAATTGAACGTTCGTAAACCGAGAGTTGTCTGTACACAGTTTTATTTTATAAGGGTGCAGCAGTTGGTCTTTGAAGTCAGCCCCACTGATCATAATTCAACACTAATGGGTTTGACCATTACATCTTTTAGTAATATCACATGGTCAGAAAATTATCACTCATGCACATAATTAAAAGGTACCAAGGCTGAATATTTATCCTCTTGTCCTGGTCCTGATTAAAGGCTTACCTTGTAGATAAAATCTTGGTCACTTGTCTATGAAGGGTTAACAGGAGAGAGAGCATCTATTCTTAAAAATGACTTTAAGTAACTACAGCTAGGCTTAACAAAAATTCATACCTGGAACATAAATATCAACTGGAATAATCCTATCACATCCTCTAACAACAGAATATGAGTAATGGTAGTAACCACCACCATTTGCACAGCTACCCATAGAAATCACCCATCGAGGTTCTGGCATCTGCAATGGAAATTTAAAAATATTTTAATTGCTAAATAACATTATCAGAAGCATTGACAAGTTTTTAAAAGAAGTCATGATTGCCAAAAAATAAATTCACAGCCATAAGTAATGGAAAGTACATAGAAAAATGGTAAGCCAAACTGGTCAGTACATCTGTACTGAATATCACAAATTTCTGTGTTCACTAAGGATACAAACATGTCAATGATAAAGTTCAATTTATGCAATGAATATAGTAAGAAATAAGGAGTATCATGATTTTCAAGGAGAAATTATCAAAATTTTAACCAAGTACTTCAAAGGCATTTGGTTTTGTATTTTATTATTGCACTGTTTGCACTAGCCCACATTTCTCAGTCTAAAGAATTCAGCAGATACAAAGAAGGAAGTAAGATGTTTGCTTCATAAGCAGGCCATTGTCTCCACTGTGCACAACAATTCTTACAATATTCTTTGTAAAAATAGACATGTCAATATCATGCATGTCATTCAATATTCTCAGGCAGTGTGTGAGCACATTTTTGAAATGACAAGAGATTATATAATTTAAAGTGTATTACCATGCATACTGAATGCATATGAAGTGTGACGTGACTTCACTGTCAAGTCAGTGAGGCTTTTAACTGAAGGAGATTTTGTATAAAACTGTTTACTTGCATCATGAAAGCTATGCTGCACAAAATACATGAGAAACTTTGGTAAATCTGGTATCCATTTGCTCTTGGTATTAAATCCAAAGGGAAATTTTGAAACATGTAGTGGAACAATATATAACTGCACAGATAAAATGAGTATTTGGGCGAATTAAATATATATGCTGGTGTGAGGATTCAGAACTTGCAAATGTGATCTTCACATCAATGAGCCTTAAAAAACAGGAATGGAGTGCCATATAGGCACTTGGGGGGGGGGGGAGGTATAGTTCCAACTCATTCTTAACCTTGGCACTAGATGGGGGTGAGTGGTCAGCATCATGCCCTGGCTGGTACCTATGCCATGTTGAAAACACTGGTTCTCATCCGATGATATAAAGAAGGTGAAATTGAAAAAAAAGGAAAACATGGTGGTCTACAAGGACAAACTGATGATCATAAAGTGGAAAGACAAGAAAAATATTTGTCATACAAGTACCACACATGACAAAAATTGGCCAAAATTAGGGTTCAAGACCAAGACATCAAGGAGTCCAAAGCATTCATCAATCATAATTCAAGGACAGGATATGAGTGGTGCTTACCTGGTAAGCTATCACAGTAATAGGAAAAAGCTAAAAAATATTACTACCAGAAACACTTTTGTCATTTGTTTATGTTGCAGACTTATATAGATCTTGATTTTAAAGTATTACAGAACTGAAATAAAACCTTATGGCAGGCCCTCAAAGACTGCCCCATCAAATAGGACTATTCATTCCACTACCCACATGAATGGCTGCTACATATTTGAAGAAGAACCCAAGTCAATGGTGAGTTTTATGCTACAAGATGAGTCAGCTTTATGAAACAAGAATAAAACACAGCTTTGTGTGTGACACCATTTATATTTTTACCATATGGTTGTCAATTTCTAAGTGAGTGGTGGGGGAGCACGACTACAGAAGTGAGTAATACATAGAAAATGTTTCAAGGTCAGATTATTCCATTTTATAAATTGTAGTATGGACTAATATTCAAAACATACTAATAATTATTCAGTGCTAGATAGTGTCTGCTATTGAAGGTGTAATAGAGTTTTTTAAGGATTAGCTGTATTCATTTGAACACTGGTCATAAAATCAGTACATCTCAAATTGACTTGGCTAGTGTTATCGGCAAGTCAGACACATCTCACACCTATAAATAACAAGACGCCATGAAATTCTAACTTGAGCATCTGCTGAACTTCCAGCCACTTAGGTGTAAATGTTATGTGTATAGATTTTATATTTTGTGTTTTGAAGCAATGTCACACTTGCACACCCAACTTTTTGAACATCTTTTACACTACTGTGAAACGTCCATTTTTATTAGACTTAATGTTTCTGCTGTACTCAAGTCATCACTACACCTGTAAAATTGTAGATAAATTACTGCATATTTTTGCATTATAACATGTTTTGTTTAAATCTGTAAAACCCTAAATAAATACATATCCTATCTCATTTTTGTATGCAATGTTTTGATTCCATGACATTGTTTTGGTTGTCCAGTGCGTCTGTAAACACAAATTAAGTCTGTATGATACTACAATAACCTTTGGGTAAAATGAAGTTTTTATTTGTACTGCATTGTGTTTTGGTATGGAGCTGTGTGTGTGGTAGTGTTTCCTGTTGATTTTGAGTTTGTGAGTGAAGGGGAAGGGAATGTAATAAAAATAACATTTCACAGTAATGCAGAAAATATTGTGAAAAGTGGAGTATGCAAGAGTGATGGTGCTTGAAAATGAAAAAATCTGTGAACACAACAAAATACTATACTACAGAACTGTATGTACAGTGTTTCAAATCCAAAGATTAGCTACAGTTCAGCTTTCCACCAGTACATAAACCTACATAGTCTACTCTACTAAACTAGGCAAGTAACTTAAGACAGTCTCTTTCATGGTGAAAACAACAACAGAAAATGTGTATCCAAATTAGCAGTCATATCTGTCAGTTTCAAACACTTTAACAGAACCACCTGAAGATGACCAATTAAGGTTGAAATATATAGTGGATTCTTAAAAACATTGAAATTGTAATCAAGCATTGTTGTGTAGAGGACTCTCAACCTAACATTCAATATACAACAGGATGCATCCCTTGAAACTCCAAATATGAAGGTTGTGGCCAGGATTTCATATTTATTATGAGTCAGAAGTGCATCAGTGCATTGTGTTGCCAATTTGTGACAATGGATTATAGCAACTATCGCTGCTGTATCTATGGATATGCTGGCTCATGTATGGACTGAAGTTGAATATCATCATGTCTGCAGGGTAGTCAATGGTGCTCACACTGAATAGCACTGAATGGCACTTAAACTTGATGAGTTTGCCTAGCAGCTGTCATCACATGCAGCATTCTGTGTCAACAGAGTAAATAAATCTTTATGACTGAAATTTCTGAGCTTTTTGGACAGCCTGGATATTCCCATGTGTAGCACTTAGTACCACCCAAATCACACCCTTGAATAAGAAAAATATCTAAGTTTTTTGCAAACACTTTAGAAAAAGATATGCATGGTATTTGGGAAATATGGGAATTGAAAGTGACTGTAAATCCATATGCTTTCTCATTCAGTCCTGCAATAATAATGTTAGCCCACCCACTTTAAGCTATTCCACTTAAATACATTTCATTACCTGGTCATATACTTTACGCAAGGCTGGAGCCATTTTGTTTGTTAATGTTCCAGCAACAATAATAACATCAGCTTGACGTGGAGAGGCACGAAAAACAACGCCATACCTATCCATATCATATCGGGGTGCAGCGATGTGCATCATTTCCACAGCACAGCATGCCAGACCAAAAGTCAGCGGCCACAATGAACCCTATAGCAGCAGAAGAAAATACATTACAGTTGAACTTACCAGGCTATCCCCTACTTATTCCAAAATCTGTACAGAGCATAACTTAAATATCTGGCACAAATATAAGAGTAAGATGCAAGGTCTACAATCCTAAAGAATGATAAATGTTCACATTAACATGACCCAGACAAACCATCCTTTCAGTCCCTCCAAAATCTCCAGTGCAACATCACATGTCTGTTGCTACCATCATGTGTCCAGACTGCAAATTTCATAGGCTTTCAGGAACCATATTAATATGGCACTTTTCACTGCTTTGATGTGTAGAACTCATTCTTTAATTTGTATTAGGCCTTTAAGTTACATTCTGTATATTATAAAAACTAACCTGGAACATCAAATGTCAATTTTTCATGCATATAAATTGCAGTTGTAATCATAGAATGAGAATGTTACCTTACGTCCCCAGTTCATTAAATCATCCAGTCTAGCTATTGCATATTCTGCCAGATTGCTTGTATTCTGAAAAGGAGAGTAGGGTCGTTTTGCTGGAGCTACCTCTGAAATAACAAAGCTACATTTTTATATCATAACATTGATATTAAAAATTAAGTCACTGTAATGCTGATGTTTAGCCAAGGGTTTTAAACATGTTAAACTCACTTCAAATCTGTTTGTGCCCTACTGATTCAGAAACGTTCACCAAGATATGGAACAAATATTGTAAAAGTCACATTTCATTTCTTAGCTTATTTTCCTTTCTTATAGAAATAAATTTGAGTCATATGATCACCAAGCTCTCTGTCACCCCCTTTCAACTTATGAACCACCTGACAATTTCCATCCAATTCATACGTTTTAGCACAATGCCACATAAGATGGAATCCTAAAATGATAAACAGTAATTTATTTTAAAAAAATATGCAACTTTTCTTAAGCTATTTTTTTTCAGAATGTAAAACAAGGTAGCCACATTAAAATTATTTTTTATTCTGGTAGTTTACAGTCTCATAGAAATAATTAATAAATCCAGGCACAAGACATTTGGTTTAGACATGGATCATAAAGATATCTACAAACTATGTATAAAATACAATTTGAAAATAAGCTTTACAAGCATGACAGTGGTGTGAAACTGTAAGACCATGTCTCAAATTTAACACACATAGAATCAACATCCTTGTCGAGGAGCAATTTGGATTTAGAAAAAATCTCTCAACAGAAAAGGCTCTATTTAGTTTCACTAATGAAATTGTATGTGCCCTTAACAATAAAATGCATGTGGGTGGAATATCTTGTGACCTAGCCAAGGCATTTGATTGTGTAAACCATGAAATATTACTAATGAAACTGAAATTTTATGGAATTCGAGGTATAGCAGGACAATGGTTTAAATCCTACCTAAATAATAGAAGGCAGAAAGTAGAAATTGAAAGCCCCCATACCAATCATAATACCTATTCAGAATGCGGTATCGTAAATCACGGAGTGCCACAAGGTTCAGTTCTTGGACCCTTACTTTTCCTCATATATATATAAATGACCTGCCGGCAACTATAAACTCTATATCTAAACCTATTCTTTTTGTTGATGATACAAGTATCATTATTGCACACCAAGAATTTACCTATCTTGAAAATATCATGAATGATGTCTTTGCCAACATAAACAAATGGTTTAGAGCTAACAAACTGGCACTAAATTTTGAAAAAACAAACTTCATAAAATTTGTTACTAAGCACAAGACATATCCTAGATTAAATATAGGTTTTGAAGAAAAATTAATTGTGGAAGTTGAAACAAACAAATTCCTTGGCTTACAAGTCGACAATACTTTAAATTGGAATAGACGATGGATAATATCCAAGTAAATTTTTATTTAATTGACTCTTCACTATCGTCAAGAAGTTTTAGATTTGATATACTTTAAAGCTAGTTTACTTTGCTTACTTTCACTCTGTAGTGTCATATGGATTAATCTTTTGGGGAAATTCAACAGACAGTAATAAAGTTTTTTATATGCAAAGAAAATAATTAGAATAATGGCCGGTGTCAAAAGCAGGGTATCTTGTAGAAAATTATTTCGTAAATTTATTATACTTCCACTTGCAAGTGAATTTATACTCTGCTTGCTATCATTTGTGGTGGAAAACATGGATAAATTTAAAAGAAATACAGATGTACATAATTTAAATACAAGATGTAAACATGATCTCTATGTGCCAAATGCTAACTTTACTAAATATCAGAAAGGAGTGTACTATACAGGTATCAAGTTATTTAATAATCTTCCACCAACAATTAAAAGTCTAAATT